CGCAGTATACGACTGGGATTTCTTTTTTTTTTACTCTTCTATGTAAGACAGCAGACGACTATAAGATACTATACGTCATTTTTGTTCATATATTTTGATGCTGCTATCTAATCGAGATGAAGTCTAGTATATCTCTCTATTTCTCTTATTCTGACATCATAATTATAAAGTGTGAGTGTGTGAATTGTTTTTTTTGTATTTAATTGTGAAAACGAGTAACAAACAAACGTGTGTACGGAGATGTTGACTTTGTATATCGTGATGGTTTAGGTTCAAACGAAAGAGAAAAGAATAAATTGACGTTTATCCGTATATTACATAAAACAATACGTATACGTACATTTCTTTGTTACACAGATCATATGGTCAGTTTAGAGAATCATGACCACGAGCACCAGTAATACAAAAAAATACAATTCACGAAACAAGTGTGTTATTTTTCGCTCGAAAACATCATATGATGAATGCATACTACTATTTCGGTAGTCTTGTTTTGAATTTAATTATTCATATGAGAGATGTGCTTGATGCATTTAATGTTTGTGATATTTATTCTAAAACGAATGGTAAGTTCACTTTCTTCAGAACGCTTTATCTCAGTGGAGATTCCTATCGGAATGAAGGAAAATTGTTACTAGTTTTTCGCTAGATGAGAACTGCTGACATGACGAGAGAATTTTATAGAAGCATCTTATAGAAGAAAAAAGTTGGCACAAGAACCAGTCTTGAAAATACTGTACCATCTGTGTTTCGAAGAGCAAGATGCAAGAGCGTTTGAACAGCGTGACTCAGTCGGCTAGTGAGCCGACAACATACTTCAAAGATATGGAGTTCGAATCCCAGCAACGGCGATCGCGTGATTGTTTTGGACAAGCTATCTAATGCTCCTTGTCTCGGTACCTTTCTGCACACAGATGCAATGAAGTAACCCGATTTCAGCAGCCATTTGACTGGAGAGATGAGAATTAAAGTTTAAAAAAACATACAAGCTCTGAAAGAAAGTTTCTATCATAACTGCACGCAGAAACGTTGGACCAATAACGGTTTTATGGATTGTAAAACTTAATTTTGTGATCCATTAACGATAAACTAGTTTGATTGCTGCAAAGAACGCAAAATTATCTTGTTGATACTTAGAACTTCTTTCTTCGTTAAGATGTTTGCTCATGGCAGTGAGAACTAGTAATAACTTAGCATAGCAAGACCGTACACATGTACAAATCTCTAAATGACTCGGAAAGTTAGTCTTCAACACGTTATATAGAGTTTGATATTGAGAACAATTTATTCGTTCTGTCGGGACATTTTACGGTTGCTTCTATTGACTATTATGTATTATTTCGTGTTCATAATTAATGCATATACATAAGCAGAACGCAACTTGAAAATAAACATCAACGTTTGAATAGTTGAATTATACATACTTAAGAGAGTAAGTGCTTTCATCGAATGTTACTACGGCTGTGTTCATCATTTTCAATCAAATCTGTCAAGTACATTGCATACTTAATAAAATCGTTTTTTTTCTTGCCATTTCAATGTGAAAAAAAGCAACGTCAAATTATAAAATGATGTAATAAAGTAGTCAATATAAATAGAACCTCTAAAAATCAAAATTACTGAAACCTGTTATAACATTAATGTTGTAGTGTACATTTTACGACTGGTTGTTTTGATATATTAGCAATAAATGAGGTTAAAAGTTACATATAACTTAACTGCTTCTATTGAGAAAAAAAGAACTATAAATTGATTTTAGTATAGTCAGTTAAAAGATAAGAAAAAGGTTAATTCCTATGAGGAAAAATTGCCACAATCTTTGTTTAACCAAGAGAGAAAAAATATTTAATGTTCTCTTCGAAAATGGATAATGGAATCTCATCAATTAGGTCTATTTCATATATTTATAGTTAAGTTTAAGATAATAAAGTAGTTTACTGTAAGCTTTATTTTACACTTGGGCTCTACAATGTTTAATCTATCGAATTTTTAAGTAAACCACTGGTGGTTTACGTTAAATAAATTCTATATATTGTTTTGAATAATCTCCTATCTCCATCTATCAATTGTTGCAAATTGATCACTTTAGAGCTTCTAAATATTACTCATTAACCTCTTCACTTTTACACATTTTGTAAAGAATTAAACGGCAAATCTAATAAAAAAGCCATAAACCAAGTCGAAGGAACGTGAGATAAGGAATTAGATTTTGGTTATATTTACCTTGATTAATCGTTAGGATCTTTTGAGTCTAGTATGATTGAACAAAAATTGACTCGCATTTTCTCTCACTATGAAGTAGGCTTAAATTAAACATTGAATAAGGAGTGTAATATTGAATCTGATCTTACTTAAATTCAATTAGCGATTTCTTTTTCAAGTCAAGAGTATAATCTATTCTTATGAATGCCTAGCGCTATGTCAACAAGAAATGTGTGGAATCGATGATATCCTCAAGTTGTTTCTGTCTTATGATGTAATATGTATCTATTGGTGGTGATGAGAAAATAAGAATAATAGCTTTCATCTTGAAAGATATATTTGCAGACAGACATATTTGTTCTGTTCAACGATACATAAGAAATCTTGAAGCTATTTGAATAACAGTTTTCAATATGCCTGCCGATATATCCCAGTTTTCTTTTTTCTTCTATCAATTATTATAATTATTATTTTACCATGAATATAAATATAATAAAAATTTTGAATAGAATAACTGCTTCATTGTATATGTAATCATATCTCAATTGAGCCACATACAAATGAGTTTAAATGTAATAGGAGCCAAGTTTATATCTGAGTGTGTGTAGCGTAGCCTTTTGTTTCTAAATCCAATATTTAAATCGTTCTTAAATAAGATAAAAGAAGAAAAAAATTTGAATAAATTGATAGACGTTTTATTGAGCATTTATAATATCAGCAGCTTGAATCTAAAAGTATCTATAAATAAATATTTTTGTTAATCAATTTTTGTTCATTTTCTGTCTATTTCATGCATATTGAAATAAGGAATGGATAGAAAACGTGTGTAGTATAGGAAAGATCAGAAAGATGTGCCGTGCGAGAAATATAGAAATAAACGTTTTCTAAGTATAAATGAACATTTATTTAGCTGTTGGAACACTTTATCAGCAGTTCGCTAATAGTAAATATCTTATATAATTGTTAAACATCATTTGAAGAACATAACCAACCGTATTTTGCTAAGAGATGGTCTGCACATTTCAGGATTGTTACACTCATTCTTTTCTATTCACAAACGGTTTAAGCTACTTTGTTCTGATTGAACGGACCTAAGATATTGTAACTTCGTTTGATGATTTTATATACAAAAAACGATTCTTTTTTTTCTCTCACGTAACAGAGAAGAAAGAAAAGACACCGATGTGACTATTCGAATCTCTACCTTAACTTATAATAACTTACGTATGTATATTCATCTACAACAGCTATTTTTGAGTTGGTTAAAAAATTATAAATTTACATCTTTTAAATAAAGTGCGTATAGAAATCGACTCACTACATCAGAACAGAAGAAATAGGACAAATCTGTTTGTATGGTATAGAGGACGGTTATAATTAACTATAAGTTATTAATCCGTTAGAAAGGTATAGGAGAGAACAAAAGTATTTCTCTTTCTTTCTCTCTTTCCCTCTCTGCCTCCTCTATACTGATATTCTTCCTCGTTTATATCAGAAAGCGATAGATATTTGAAAAATAGTATTGTGTAGATACATATATATATATACGACGCAGAGCGCATGAGAAAAACGATATCATTAATGTTTTATATTCCAAATGTATTTATTATACGACCGTTGAAATCAATTTTTAAACTTTTATTTAATTGTTATATAAAACCAATGAAACTTATGTTAATTATAATATATAAAAATACATGGATTAGAGGTAAATAAACAACTTTTTGTTTAGTTGACCTTTGACTACTGTCATGTCCTTCTCTAAGTTGCCGAAAAGGGTGTCAAAAGGGAGTAGTTGCTAACTTTTCCTCGTGAATGGTTCGGCTGATATTATAAAAAAGCATAATCATACCATGATTGCTTCCAATGATATGATTGAAATCTGTCAACACTTTCGCATTTGTTTGAACACTTATTCAACTTTCTTTTTCTTTTACGGTGTACACATTGTGAAATTGGCTCTGAAGTCTTGGTGTGATCCGATCGCATGTATTCTAATAAAAAAAGATCAGTTTTGGTGAGAGGATTTTATTTTTTTATGAATACTACATATCCTTCAAAAATTTTTTAAATCTGTCTAGTGTTACATTCATTTTGAAATACACCAAATCCTTCTGTATTTCCTTGTTTGAATTAGTTTATTCTTGTAGTCTTTTAAGTCTCTTCTTTGTTTCACCATATGCGCGAAATGTTACTATCGATATAAGAGACATTTTGTTCAATATGACGCATATGTATAAAGCGGAAAGAATGTGAAGATAACATTATGTTTGACAGCAAAAAGAATAATGAATACCTTTTAACAATAATTACTATAATACATTATTTTTTAAAAAAAAGTAAAACGGTCATTAGGTGGTATTAAATCAACATTGTTTAGATACTTCTAATAACTGTGTATGTCTCATTTTTTTTGCGACATATGAATACCAAGAGGAAAGATACTAAATATAACTTTAAGAGCACTTTTGTTTCTTCTTTGTATTAGATTATCATACGTATCGCACGAGTTCAAGCATCCAGTTGTTCAATTTTCTTTTCTGGATTTTCTCGTTAGAAAGTTGAACCGATTCTTATGTGCCCAGTGAATGACAGTATGGTAAAGATAATTATCGAACATTGCAACTATTAGTATTATCATGATAATTACCATTTTGCTTGCTTTTGTATGAAGTCACTCATTTATCTGTATTTTATTAATATCATATTAGCGATATCGAGAGAACGAAAACTGTCAAATAAAACTGACCATTAAATATTTCTCCTGTTGCGTTAAACTAACAATAAAACGTATAAAAATGCATATCACAAGTAAGAGAGAGAATTATTGTATAATTGGATAAAGATGATTTACGTATGTTTAAGTAGTTCACATTCTTAGTCAAGCATAATAATTAACAACTCTACTCAATTGGATCACTTACAGCATACCATAATCGATCATATAATAAGTTGGTCAATAAATTTAAACTACATCCTCATAGAATCAATAGAAGAGAGAAAAGATACAGCAATGTCGAAAGAAACTGATGTAAAAAATAAAAATTCTTTGTAACAGAGTAACAACTACACTTTTAAAGTGATCTCATTTGACATTCTCATTTGAGAGATTTTCAATTTTCATGAATAAAGTGGTTTTGAAGATTCTTTATAGTAAATTCTGCTATTTAATCTATATTCTACCCACTTAAATTGATAACAATCATTAACATTTATCGTTGTTGTGTAAATTTTAAAAGTGTGTATACAAGCTCTATTTCTTTTTCCTTTTGTTCATATTGATCTCTTCGAACGTGTTAAACTTTTAACTATGTCGTTATTCAAATAATAGCAATAACTTTTTTTTGTATTTTAGTACGACGGAATGAAACAATTTGTTGTTTGATTGGATTCGGAATCGGCGTTGGTTGTTGTCTGTTATATAAACTTATATCAAATTTTTTGACACCAGAACATAAAAATAGTAAACAACGTGATGTAAGTATGGTAAAAAAAATTATGTTCAACAACGAACATTTCTATTTCATCCTTTGAGACATTGAACGAATTCACTTTTCTTCTCGGATATAAAACGAAACTAAACAAGATCGGTTAGTGTTTTATACATAATAATAAATTCTTTTTTTTTATGTATGTGTAGTTTTAGTGAGTTCGTGATAGATATAAAGGTCAATTTATGAAAATCTTAAATTATTATATTTAGAACTATTTGAAGTTTCTACGTTGTAAGGGCAGAGAATTTATTCAACTAAAGAAGAGTGTAATAAATATATTGATTTTCCTATCTTGATTCAACCGCATCCTACATAGATCGAAATCGTTGAGTGGATTATTTTCGAACTAATTAATTTTGTAACTGTCTAATCATGCGGCTTTTTGAAGACGCAGTATACGTACTTTTCTATTTCTCTGAATTAGTGTAAAAAAGAAATTTTTGTATTTCTTTCAATCATAGGCACAGACGATGGGTCAGGAACAATCTTATAGTTCGGAAATTGCAGTTTCATATAGTAAACGGCCCCGTCCTCGTACAACAGATAATACGAGTCATCCAGTAGCGATATCAAAACATGAGCAACATCGCGAAGAACGTATCGTATGTGATCGTTGCCGTCATCAAGCTAGTGAACAAGAAAACGATTGTGAGCCACTAGTTGGTCTTCCAATAACTAAATATCATCATGAACACTATGAATTGAAATCATCGAATCCCATGACATGGTCCGAAATATCATCATCAGATTTATTAGAATCATATCATTCAAATTCAATTGGTGATTCGGGTATTGAGTCAAATCCAACAGGAAGTCGATCAAAGTTAACGACAAAGAATAATAAGAAAAAAGAGAACATGAATTCTACACTTAATAATTATGGATATGAATTAAATTCAACATACGATGAATATGATCAAATATTTCCATCAGCGTCATCTGCAAACGTATTGGGAACAAATAGAAAATACGATTCGGATACAGCGATTTGTCAATCAACAAGTATGAATAGAACTCAATCAGTTACGATGCTAACTCGTGAGTTTAGATGTAGTGACAGAACCAGTAGCTTTAGACATTGAGAGTTGTCTTGTCAAACACTTTTAGAATATGAAAAATCTTTCTTTACACTTGTTATATCTTATCACGTTTTAGAATGTGCAACTGATGCATTACAAAATAATCTTATGTCGTATATGACCACTGAAAAAGGTATCCACTTCTTTTCTGCTTTCTTTAGTTGAACTATTAGATTTGTTTTTTCTTTTCTAGGTCTAGAACGTGCTATTGAACATACAACAAAATTAAATCAAGATTTAGAAATGATATTAACTGATTTTGGTACATTATCTCGACGGTATTCACAATCATCTGTCAACAAAATATTAACGTCAACATCGTCAGCAACCTACGATAATCATCATTTTCAACATTCACATACAATCGATGTTCTCGATTGGAATTATAATGATTGTTCACCGATGCCTCAATCGCCAAATTCTTATCGACGACAATCTTCTCGTAATACTAATTCATCTCAAACCAGCAATAAATCGCAAAATTCACGAAATAAAACAAAGTTAAAACGACGTCTAAATACTATGTCATCCGATTATCATGAGTCAGATGAAACACGATCGTATGATTACACGAGTTCACCATTGAGAAGAAGTACGTAAAGTTTTTTTGATATTGATTGAAGTTTATTAACTAATATGAGTATCATTTTAGGGCCAAGTTCTGTCTATTTTGATTCAAGTGATACAAGTGATGAAGACGCACCAAGTGACGATATTCTCGATACAATAAGTAGTAATTGTTCTTCAAATCAAACAAATCTTGACGATACGTTAAATGTTGAACAAAATAATGATGATGAAACATTATCACCTGTAAAAATGTCGACAACCACAGAATTTATTTCATGTTCTAACGATTCAGAATTATCAATTGAAACAGAGGATCAAAATAAATATTCCTAGAAACTTATTTTCCTCACATACGGTGCCATTTGTTATTGAACGTGTCTTCCTTTATTTTCGTTGTCACATTGATTTCTTTTTGTTTTGACTTATCCGGTGGGCTTGTCGTCATCGTCGAAGAGCAACAGAAATAAAAACTAATTGAACTAAATGTGCTCTTCAAACAAATTATTGAAATACAGTGATGATGCATGCAACAAGGCTCGGGTTTTTTTCATTTTTTTTTGTCAGATGTTTTCTTTCTTTTTGCTTATAAATAAGAACAAAAAAAAAAACTCTAAAAAAAGAAGTTGTTTGGTCATTTTTTTTCCTGCTGAGATTTCTATCATTCATTTTTTTTTATAATTGAACTTCTTCAACTTTCATCTGATACAGTTTGTTTTTGTGTATTTGAACATATATTTTGTTGTGTTCTCTCTTCTATTTACGGCAATAGCGACAATTTAAAAATTGTATAGGTAACATTTATTTAAATTTATTATTTTCTTGTTTTAGAAAAACAAAAATAAAGTAATAATGGACTTTAATCGAGCAACAAAATTTAACTCGAATGCAAATGTACCTAACCTTTAACTCGATACGCAATGTACCTTCGAATGCAAATCAGATTGCGTCACACAGAAGTAATCTAGTCGCGAGAGATTTTATTTAACAACTGGTTTTGCCTCCAAAGTGTATTCATAGAACTTCTTTGACACTATTATGCGATCTGGTGCTTTTTAATGCATTGTTCCACTATGAATAATTTTAAAGGTAATAAAAACATCAGTCAATCGTTTTTGATCATATGTTTCATGAAGCAGAATGGTCCTTATTTTTTTTAAATTTGGATAAAAAGTTTTAAAAAACTTTTTTCATTAAAACTCATATTCATGCTCAGCGTCAAAAACTGCTTTTAGTGATGTGTTATTCGAACTTTAGCAAGACTTTTGTCAGCTAAAAAAGTGCCTTTCGTTCCCTCTCAGATGTTTAGTGAGTAAAACAAACACCTCCAGGCGTTAGTTTTAGATAACAGCAAAATTGGATTTTTTCAGATTTCTGACTTGTATAGGTAGCAACTCTGCACGTAATCCACAACCCGCTGCCATAGAGAGGTGTTCAGGATGGAAAAAAATGTCTACCTTTTTCGATCTCATATAGAAGAGCAAGCACTTCTGAGTAACACGGCGTTTGACGATTGAAAAAATAATGTATGGTGACTGAGCTATGATGTTTTCAAAACTAGCCCTGAGACCAAAATAGCGGTTTGAGCATGAGACACCGGTTTTAGGAAAATTAAAATATCTCAGCTTTGTAACACGAGAGAAAGGTCGGGTTTGCGTCATTACTTAAGTTGATGCCCAGACTATCCGTGCCCCCGTCATATGTGCCACCACATATGTCACGTGACCAATAATGAGTCATCATTTCTGGATTGAAGGGCTATTTTTGGAATATCTTTTCCGTACGGGAGGACAAATATTTTTTGGATATTTTTGCGTCATCATGCAGTCAAGTAGCGTCAGCATCAAAGACTACATTTAGTGATGTGTTATTCGAATTTTAGCAAAGTTTTGCTGTTATCTAAAACTAACGCCTGGAGGTGTTTGTTTTACTCACTAAACATCTGAGAGGGAACGAAAGGCACATTTTTAGCTGGCAGCAAAACTCTTGCTAAAGTTCGAATAACACATCACTAAATGCAGTTTTTGACGCTGAGCATGAATATGACGTGAGTTTTAATGAAAAAGGGTTTTTAAGGGCGAAAACTGGGTTTCCCTCTGAACTTAAAAGTCCCAAATTTCTCTTTTCATACCCCTATACAGTAACTACTTGACTGCATGATGACGCAAAGATCTCCAAAAAATATTTATCCCTAAGTAATGACGCAAACCCGACCTTTCACTCGTGTTACAAAGCTGAGATATTTTAATTTTCCTAAAACCGGTGTCTCATGCTCAAACC